ACAGTGCCTATAGTTTTTTCACCGGCGCTATTCGGCGCTAGGATCCACCTGCACTCGCCGTCGCCTTTTTTCGCTAAAGTCGCAGCTGTTCTGCATTCGAGCTCAAAGGGGGGAGGGGAAAGCCCGATCACAAATAAGATATTGGTTTTCATCGTTGCAGAGCGCTACATGGCATGAGCGCCATGTAGCGCTCTGAAAAGGCTGCTTGGAGGAGGAGTGATTCCAGGAAGCTCAGCCTCAGCATCGCATTGATAACCCTTGTGCCCTACGCTAACGTTCCTGCTAAAAATGAATGTCATATCATAATAAGGACAGCGAATAACCCTAGTATCCAAGTTCCCATCAATTTGGGTGGAAGAGATGACAGATGACGCCCACTGGCGCCAGTTGGCGCTGGGACCTGTAGTGAACGTCATATTCGTGACCAGACCAACAAAAAGCCCTAGTATGTATGTAACTTTTCCTGAAGTTTGGTGGAAAAAGGTAGAGGTGAGTTGGCGCGGCACCATTCTGGCGCCCCGGTTTTGATGAAAAAAGTGGTGGCGCCAAATTGGCGCCTAATGGTGCCAAATGGAGTCAAACACCGCCGGCGCCAGAAACGGACGTCACATTCGTGATCGGGGCACTGAGTAACCCTACCGGCAATTTCTCGTTGGTCCACTATTTGCATAAATTAACAAAGGTATGAAGACTTGTACCACTGGGAAAAGTTCCTCGAAGAACTCGAACTGTTTTTCATCAAAAGCCCGTCCGCCACATATGGTGGACATGGTCCGAAGTGGACATTTCGGTGTCCACCACCAGTGGCGGACATTGTCACGAATGGGTTAGAAGGAGGAGGAGCAGAAGAATTAAGAAGGACTGATGGGGGGGGGGCTGCATATTAGAGGGGGAGGGGTCGGCAGTTATTGATGGAAGGCTTGCGAAATGCCCATCAAACCGTACTGTGCCTGCGCAGCTATCAGACATCCTAGTGTGCGCCAAATGCTAGAGGTTATCCGTTGTTTGGTAGAGTAGACAGCGATTCTCACGTTCTGAACTGTCCGTTCAACTCCTGCAAATGAGTGCCTAAGCCAAATATCTTGGAAGGCAAGATATCGCCGGGATTTCAAACAAATGTCGAATGCATGGCGCACCACCAAAAGCGTTGATTGACTCCGAATGCTTTATTCGTCATGCTGATATTGTTTGTTGTTAACATGGTCTTAATGACGCATTGAAATATTCATATATTAATAAAAATACATCTGAAATTGGATTTCCAGGCAGCTGTTACCCATTCGCGACAACAACACAACGTTGTGTACGATTAACCATCAAGCTACTGTAACGTTCACGCATCGTAACGGCTCTATTAATGGTGCTTATATCAGGTAGGGTCCTATTAGGGTTGAGAGCTGTTGCGTTATGTCAAAAATCCGTCTTACTATGACCTCAACTTCCGATGATTTTTTCTCATTGAAACCTTTTGTGTAGTTCTTTTTACTGGCGCTAATAACCTGGGTGCAGGGTACAGTGTTGGAACGGCTGGAGTAGCTGCTCCAGTACGACCTCACCTAAATCTAATTTTTTTTAGTACGCTCCCCCTTTCCCATACTACCTATCATCCTCTCCCCAGGGTACAGCATCCCGGCTTTTTTTTGCATGTTTAAACACAGGTCGGGGGGAGAGTGTCGTACTTGCCGCCTGGCAGGGGGGGAGTCGTTTCTGGTCGTTGTTGGGAGAGGGGGAGTCGTACGTGCCTTTGAAAGAAATTTGCGTTGGGAAAAAATTTTCCCGTCTCGCATTGGCTATACACCACCCCCCCCCCCCCCCCCCTTAGTTGGTGGCGTCCCCTAGGTTCTATACAACTAATGTTTTCTATCGATAGTTGAAAACAATAGTACTTGGTTTATGCACGACCCTCCCCCCCCTGCGCTACTTACGAAAATCTTGGTAAAAAACCAGAAGCGTTTGGGAACTTTCGGAAAAAACTGGCTATGAAAGCTGGCAAACTTGTAGAATAGGTTGGTACTGGGGAAAGTGAGCGGGAGGGGGGAGGGGGCGTACCGAGACCCTCTTTTGATATCGTACTGACACCACCATTTCACACATCACGATGCTGTACCCTCCTCCCATATACTTCTTTTGGATTTTTTCAAAAATATTTCTGGTGTTCCCAAAAAACAGGCGTACAGCGGGGCAGAGGTGCTCGTGGCTCGGAAGAAACTTTACGCCAGATACGACATCCCTCCACCCCCCCCCCCCCCCTCATGCAATTCACTGAGGGTACCGTCCTCTGCCTGGGTGATCACGATCCTCGTTTTTCTCAGCTGAAGATCTATACAACCATTGAAAATGTAGCAAACCATTTATCCTCAGCAAACTGATAATGCCAAGCTCACAGGACGCTAAATAGCGTTTCAGGTCGCTATCAAACCACATCCCTCCCTATCAACGTCGTTTATTTCAGCTACGTCAATCGTACCGTTTCCAACGATGAAAGACAGATCCTGCTGACCGTACGCACTCGATTCCTTGAATATCGAGGTCCAAGTCAGAAATCCAGGTAACCAGTGCACATTTCGCGTTGACTACCTTGTTTTGATCGAGGAAATCTATATCAGAGTACAGAAAATGCACCCATGGTGTTTGGGGGGGGGGTGATGGGGAGGGGGGGTTGCACGTTACCACGACGTGCCCAGACTAGCAAGTGCTTCCTAGTTATTTGATTCGTAACTTAGTGCAGTTTTTCGGACAGCGGCTCTATTTATGTTCCCGAAGTCGGACTACTGCTACATCAGCACCAATTTATCAAACAACAGATGCTAAACCTTTGAATGACCCTGTCTACACAAATCCCTCTCCCCCCCTCACCTGATCTCCGATCTTTCCAGATTCGAGCTGCAACGTGGTCGTTTCCACTGTCCATCGGATGTGACCTGTTGGCGGGAGCTGTGGCTGCCGCTGACCGACGACGTCTCGCCGTCAACCGTACCTCTTTTGGTGTGTGCAGTCATTGTAGTGCTATGTTTTATTTTGGCTCTTGTAAAACGACGTCGAAAATTGTGCGATTCAATTTGTGACTGCCAGTTTGCCATGTTGAACCTATCAAGCCCTTTGAATGTGTCAAAGAAAACCCAATAAACGTCTGTACGAATTATAGTTGCCCAGGATACCGTACTGAAGTATTTCATAGTTCCATTGAATCGTGCTGTAAATCCTTCCAATATTATTGAACGTTTTTGTTCTTTCTCCTTCGTGAGAGCGCGCCATACTTGGCGATCGGTCGGGTCGCGCCTCGCGCGATCACGCGGTCGAGTCGAGCAGCTTAGTGATCGGATCACAAGAGGTGTCATTATGTTTGACTTTAAAGCATAAAATAATGTCGTCCTGATTTTAAACCACAGCAGAAATCCAGATCCCCTGAAGTGCGTCCTACACCCCCTTGATTTGACCCAGTCGGCTAAGGGGAGGAAGAGGGGGAGAGAGGAGGGCAACTGGTGAACTTCATGTCACTCCGGTCCGGTTCCGGTCACTTCATGCAGACCTGTGAACTCCTGTAAAGCTGCAAAGTGGTGGGGGCTTCATTCCTACGCCAGTTCTTGATTGTTTTTATTGTGGACCCGTATTTAGCGCAAAAAGGGGTAGCGGGAGGGGAGGTCACTATTGATCAGTCTGTATAATAGTTCTACGGCGTCGCTAAGTGTTGAAGATATTGTAATTTGGCTGTGATGTGGCTAAGCCAAGGCGGTCCATTCAGGTCAAAAGAACACACAGGAACACAGTGCTCGCGGTAGTCCTCCCCCCAACTTCTCCCCCTCCCTCCTAAGCTACGCTCAGTCGTCATCCGAACGAAGATAACTCAGAAAGACTCCTTCTCCGAAAAGGCGATACTGCACAGGGTGAAGATCAGCTCATTGCGCTGAGGGTTGCGTAAGAGTCATTGAAAAGGCGCAGCGAGCGCGGCATTCGCACCAAAATCCTACACTGGTGTGCAAAACTTAGGGACGAGATGGATAAATTAACATAAAACAATAATGACTGGGTGGAAGTGAATGAAAGTGTGGGAGCATGTTGCCACTCGCCTAAGGGATATGCACAGGAAGCTAGACTTTTCTCGGTGGAAAAAGAGCTTGAATAAAGTGCCAAATATGGCCAACCGCGAAAATCGAGTCAGTCTATGGGTAAGGATAAAAGGATAAAGTCTTCGCCGTTGATCAATCCCTTTGTGGGATGCGGCACGCATTCTACTTCCATTCAGAATCGTAGTGGGTTATTGAATGCGATGTGGCCTATACAATGACTTGCGGTGGCCAGCCGATGTACAAGTCAGTGTTTTATCCTCCCAGACGAATCTGGTACCAATTCACCGTCCCCGAAGCGTTGTATTATAGTCTGTGTGTTTCCGTGGCCTGGGCGGAGTGGACCCGGGATTCGAACCCGGGACCGCCGCGAATTGCGTGGAGCGCCCACCTGATCATACACCATCTCCGCCTTCCAGCTCTATGGGTATGAAAAATTTTTTTTCTCAATCAACGAGTAGCTGCAAAGAACTGTGGTAGTATCCTTCGATACATCATGTCCCGAAGAGAGCATCTGGATGACTTCACTCGAGGAAGGATCATAGGGAAACTCGAAGAAGGTCGAACCATGACGAGTGTAGCCCAGGAGTTCGGTATCGCTCACAGCGTTGTTTCACGTGCATGGAGAGCGTTCCGAACCTTTGGTACTGCTGCCCGAAGACGAGGAGGTGGCCGACCAAGGACAACTACACCAAGGGACGACCGCTACATTGTGCAGCAGGCAAGAAGAGATCCTCGTCAGTCGGCTTCGGCTATTGCAACGACGTTTAACAGGACTCTAGGGCAACCATCTCACGCACTACAGTGGCAAGACGACTGCATGGTGGGACTGCTAGAGTAGTCTCTTCGCCCGACGACCGTTACGTTGTGTTCCTTCGACCACCGCGCATCGGCGAGACCATTTACGGTGGTGCCAGGAGCATGGCGAATGGACAGATGGTCGTGTGCTCTTTTCGGATGGGAGCAGGTTCAGTCTGAGCAGTGATTCTGGGCGCACTTTCATATGGCGAGAGGTGGGAACACGCAACTCCCCGGAAACATTGTCGAACGTGATCGTACTGGTGGTCGAGGTGTTATGGTATGGGGAGGCATCATGTTGCATGGCCGTACTGACCTCCAGATTTTTGATCATGGAACCCTCACCATGATGTAGGAGAACCTCGTCGCAGTCAGCATTACTGCGACGAGGTTCTGCTACATCATGTCCGTCTTTTCAGAGCTGCAATCGGCCCTGTTTTCATTTTCATGGATGACGACCGCATCGAACAGCACAGGTGGAGGAGCTCCTTCAACGAGAGGATATCTCGCGAATGGAGTGGCCCGCCCGTTCCCCCGACCTAAATCCCATCGAGCACGTGTGGGATGCACTGGGTAGACGCATTGCAGCACGACCAAATGCACCAATGACGATCCAGCAATTGTCAAATGCACTGATTGAGGAGTGGAACGCCCTGCGAACTCATTACCAACCTCGTGGAGAGTATGGGATCGCATTGCAGAGCATGTATTGCTGTCCGTGGTGATCACACACCCTATTAGGATCCGTGTAACTTCTTTTGTAGTACCAGGATAAATCGTGGACTTATGTGTAATCGACATGGTTGAATAAAAATGTCTTAACAATTCGACTTATTCTGAGCTTCTGTCAATTGCTTTCTTCACAATATCGTTAAGGTCCTCACTTGATATTATATGAATTTCATTGAGCTATGTTGTCTAGCACGAGCGCACAGGATCGAAAGCTTTCTTGTCGCGCCTAAGTTTTGCCACACCACTGTATACAGTCGTCATCCTTGCACTTGATAGTCAATGTCAGTGCGGCTGCGTGCGGCGCGGTCGCCCGCACCCGTACTGCACCAATCGTTGAACCAGGAAGTGACATTACTGTATTATATCCTTCGTGTTACTCGTTTTCTATCACTTTTTGTCGCATACGCGTTTCAACGAAAAGGCTGAGAAGGCTTCAAACAGTGTGCACGCTCCTTCTCGCCGACACGCCCCTATCAAGTGCAAGGATGACGACTGTACTTAGCGTGACGTCGATACAACGTACCACGTCAACTAATTAGGAAAGATCAAGAGAAAAGAGACTTGTGGGTGAGAGGGTCACAACGCCACTACCTTTCAAGAGCAAAACCAGGTTGGGTGTTAGTACGATAAAGGAGGGGGGGGGGTAGTGGTGCAGGGGAAAATATTCCTTTTGCTAGTTCGTGTTAACTAACAGGTCTCACTTCGTTGAGAATTGTAAACTCTTGTGAAGTGGTGAGATGGTACAAGTGAGGCACTTTGATTACAGGAATCAACAGATCTTCTCTAGCTGGTCCGTAAGGTAAGCAGTAAGGTTTCAATCAATACTACTTGGTGCCCCCACCGAGCCGAACTGCGCAATGTTTGTTATAACTTTGAATGCCTGAGGGCTCTATACAAAAATGCCACTTCTTATCGAAATAGCGGCGATAAAAGGTACATAGATAGAAGAGAAAGAAAAAACCGATTATACAAAGAATTCGGCTCGTGAGCCCGTCACAAGGCGCAAAAACTGAGAGCGATTACACGACAACATACATTTTATATCCGTGAAATGGAGAGGGCGTGGCTGTGTGCACCATTTGAACGTGGGGGTGGCCTAGCTTTTGGTGGAATACAAGCAGCTCTGAGTCAGTGACAGCTTCATGACGTTGTTCAGCACAAGTCAGAATGAAAATTGTCTCAAATGGAAATGTACCACGAAGAACGCATCCTATGCTACACACGGCCCCGCCCTCCCCACTGCAGAAATACGGAGTACACGAAGCAATAGATATGACAAGGATGCCATTAGCCATTAGAATCAATTTGATGATGTATCGATCAACGACGGCCGGCGAGGCCTGGCAGTAGATCACACTGTGAGCTCAAAGAGCTGAATCAAAGATCACAAAACGACATTTTTTTCGGCAATAAAACATATTCTTGCGTATTTCAGGAGGGGATCAGCCACTGACTTCAAATATTGAATTAGTTCTTATGATAGTCAAACCCTCCGAGAAAGGGAGACGCTAACGTAATTTGAGAGGGGAACCACTTGGCAGCACCACTGCGTCCGTTCTGCTGATCAAGGCTCAGGCTAGGTGATAACTCTGTCCTTTCTGCAAGCCTATCCCTGGGCGACTCTGGTCGTCTGCTCTCTACACGTAAGCCTTGGTCTGGGTGGCGGAGCATAGAGCGGGCCCCATGGCCGATGGCTGCCCCCCCCCTAACTTCTTTGGCGCGCCTTATAACGCTCTAACGGTGAACCTCGGCCCTTGATAGTGAGTCTTAGGAGATCGACCAGGTCACGTTTGCACTAACGATGAACAAACGCCATCCATTGGTATCGTTTACCGATCGGGTTGATGCTCCTTGCCGACTGAAGCGTTGACTTAACAACACCAACAATAAATTAAACTTTACAGTTGGATTACTGGTATCAGAACCAGGAGAACTATTCTTTTTTCGAAACTGACCATATTCTTTCAGACACGCCGTTCAGCGACATTTACGTCGCACGCACATACCACGCATGGTGCCTTGCCCTAAGCAAAGAACGCAGGCAGGTATCAGTTGGCGCTGACCGCCTGTGTTTCAAGAGGGTATAGGATATTGGGAGAGTCGACGCTGCTTGCGCACAGTCTCTACCCTCCTATTCCCGTACCACTCGGCTCGCCGGCGCACTTCCTTCCATGATACGGCCAGGCTTCGCCGCGCTTGCCTCCTTCGCCCATTTTGAATACTCTACCTTGATTCATTTTGATGAAACAGTGTCACACCCCTTGACTGATAACATTCTGACTCCACTTCCTCTCTCCTCTCGGATCTCGGAGCTGCTCTGAAGCGAATTATGAATTTTTTTTCACCTCTAACTTTCGGCGCATGCCTCGCCCGCCGTGGGCGGGGCTTACATGTGTTATAGGTGCCCTCTACATCCTGTCCCATGCCTTACCCATCCCGACCTTGACCCCACCTCTCCAGTTGTTTTTCTGGTAAAATCGAATTTCGACGCGCATTCAAACCCGTCGACAAGCGTTTCTGAACGCCTCACAA